GCACTTAACAACAACAACAACAATTTGAAAAGAAATTACACTAGACCTGTAAGTACTCACCTTCCATTTACTTTGATCAGATCCCAGATATCCACTAAAGGCTTTTTTGCCCCAAGGACAAAGCACAGGGTTGCAAATTGGAGCAAATGCTGAAACTGACTTCAGAAACAAAAGAGAATTTTAAAACAAGTTATATTTTGTGGAATCTAATAGAATCAGATATCTACAATGCAATTAAACACTCACATGTCACATGTAATTTGCTGAAACACTAAGAAAATAAGGCAGTTTAGTCAAGCTAGGCTCATTAACACAAACAACAAATGTAAAGATATAAAGTTTTAACTAAATGAAAGGGAAAGGTTAAGAATGATAAGCGGGAGGGCTTCTTGTGGGAAATCCCATTAGTTCGCAATTCCACTTTTCCATGAACTCTCTGAAGCCCCTTTGTATTTCAGTTGCCAACAAAGCTATCAAGACAAAGATTTCTTACACTCTACAAATCATGAATATGTTTCTACTTCAGAAAATCAAAATTAGAGGCTAAACATAAATGACATTACTATAATAACATTAATCAGAAAGCGTTTTTAGAAAAAAAAATGATGGCCTTCAAAATAGAATAAATAAAAATATGAAGAGGCTTCAACAAGTTCATAGAAAAATGCAAAGAAAAGATAATGGAGTTTTCCAACAAACATTCTGACGCCCCTCTTCAAAAAGTTTCCACAAATTTTTTGAAGCAACTACTCTCCCACCCTCCCAATTTTCCTCTCTGAGGGGTGGTCCCTGTGGCCGGGGTCACGCTGTATTATTGTCACCAGTGCACCTCCTGTGGGTAGTGCCATGGGGCAGGTGTATCTTTTAGGCACCACACTAAGTCAATCACCGTGAAGGGACCTGACAGTGATGTGGGAGATCACCACTTATCTGTCAGTTTGACTGTGGTGGCTTGTGTGTTGCTGTGATTCTGGAAGTTATGCACTAGTATTTTAAATATCAGAAAGGCCACCCAAGGTGGACAGGTTTCAAATGAGCTTCCAGACTAAAGCAGACTAGGAAGAAGGAGAGATGGACTACTTCTGAATATTTTATCATTGAAAACCTTATGAATTGCAGTGGAACATGGTCAGCACCAGAATATAGAACATTGAAATATGATGAATAGTTTCAGAATATTCTCAGACATAGTGCTGGAAGATAAGCCTCTCAGGTTGGAAGGCACTCAAAATATGACTGGGGAAGAGCTGCCTCCTTAGAGTAGAGTTGATGGTGACAATGTAAACTGAGTAAAGCCTTCGATAGCTTCATTTGCTGATGGGGCACAACTCAAAATGAGGACAAACAGCTGAAAACATCCATTAATAATTGGAACATGAAATGTACTGAGTATGAATCTAGGAATATTGAAAGTTACAAAAAATGAAATGGAACACCAATATAATAGATGTTAATGAGGACTGGCCTTGGCCATTTTGAATTTGACGCCCACATGGTTTACTATACTGGGACTGACAAACAAAAGGAATGGTGTCACATTCATCATCAAAAAGAACATCTCAATATCTGTCTTGAAGTACAATGCTGTCTGTGAAAGGATAATATTCATACGCCTAGAAGGAAGACCAGTTAATACCACTACTATTCAAATTTCTACACCAGCCACTACAGCTTTATTGTTGTTAGGTGCCATCGAGTCAGGACTGACTCATAGAGACCCCATGTACAACAAAACGAAACACTGTCTGGTACTGGGCCAACCTCACAATTGCCATATTTGAGCCCACGGATGCTGCCACTTTGCCAATCCATCTCGCTGGGGTATTCCTCTTTTTCTCTGACCATCCACCTTACCAAACATGATAGCCTTCTCCAGCGACTGGTCCCTCCTGACAATATGTCCAAAGTATGAGAGATGAAGTTTGGCCATCCTGGCCTCCAAGGAGCACTCTGGCTGCACTTCTTCCAACACGGATCTATTGGTTCTTTTGGCAGCCCGTGGCACTTTCAATATTCTCCTCCAACACCATAAATGAAAAGCATCCATTTTTCTACGGTCTTCCTCATTCACTGCCCAGTTTTCACATGCATATGAGATTACAGAAAATAGCATGGCTTGAGTCAGGCGCATCTTAGTCCTTAAGCTGACAACTTTGCTCTTCAACATTTTAAAAAGGTCTAGTGCAGCAGATTTGCCTAATGCAATATATCATTTGATTTCCTGACTACTGCTTCCATGAGTGTTGATAGTTGATCCAAGAAGAATGAAGTCCTTGACAACTTCAATCTTTTCTCTATTGATAAGAATGTTGTTTATTGGTACAGTGGTAAGAATTTTTGTTTTCTTTACATTGAGATGCAATCCATACCGAAGGTTGTGGTTTTTATCTTCATTAGTAAGTATTTTAAGTCCTCTTCTCGTTCAGCAAGCAAGGTGGTATCATCTGCATATCACAGGTTGTTAATGAGTCTTTCTCCAATCCTGATTGCACGTTTTTCTTCATGGAACCCAACTTCTTGGATTATTTGCTTGGCATACAAGAAGTCCAAGGTACACTGAAGGAATTGGCAAAGAACCAAGGCTCCAGGAATTTATGGAATAAAAATTGAAATCTTTCAAGAAAGTGAGGCGGCAAAGGAGGCACTCATTCATCTATGCCAAGAGATTTGGAAGACAACTATCTTCCACTGAAGTGGAAGAGATCCATATTTGTGTCCATTTCAAAGAGAAGTGACCCAATGGAATGTGGAACTCATCGGACATTTATCTTTGATATCCCATGCGAGTCAAGTTTTACTAAAGTAATACTGAAATGGCTGTAAGCATACGTTGACAGATAACTTCCTGAGGTTCAAGCTGGATTCAGAAGAGGACGTGGAACGAGAGATATCATTGCTGATATCCGATGGATCACGGCTGAAAGCAGAGAATATCAGAAAGATGTTTACCTGTGCTTTATTGACTACGCAAAGGCTTTGATTGTATGGATCATGACAAGCTATGACAACATTGCGTAGTCTGAGTATTCCTGAACACTAAATTGTGCTCATGAGGAATCTGTACATGGACCAAGATGCAGTTGTTCAAACAGAACATGGGAACACTGAATGGTTTAAAATTAAGAAAGGTGTACAACAGGATTGTATTCTCTCACCATACTTATTCAACCTGTATGCCACTAAAGATAGTCATGATGAAACTGAAGAATTCTACCAACTTCTTCAGTCTGAAATTGATCAAACATGCAATCAAGGTGTATTGATACTAACTGCTGATTGGAATGCAAAGGTTGGAAACAAAGAGGAAAGATCAGTAGTTGGAAAATACAGCCTTGGTGATAGAAATGATTTAGAAAACATAGAAGATGACTGTACACATCAGATGGAATCAAACTGACTACATCTATGGAAAGCAATGGTAGAAAAGCTCCATGTCATTAGCCAAAACAAGACTAGAGGCAGACTGTGAAATAAGACCATCAATTGCTCATATGCAAGTCCAGGCTGAAGCTGAACTCACCTTCCATTTACTTTGATCAGATCCCAGATATCCACTAAAGGCTTTTTTGCCCCAAGGACAAAGCACAGGGTTGCAAATTGGAGCAAATGCTGAAACTGATTTGTATTTTCCAGGATTCTTCAAAGCACAGATCAGAGCTCCATGACCGCCCATGGAATGGCCAAAAATAGACATTGATTGGGAGTCCACTGGAAAATTGGCATTTATGAGTTGGGGAAGCTTTTGTGTTGTGTAAGAGTACATTCTGTAGTTAGTTTTCCAGGATCTTACGTGGCATCCACATAAAAGCCAGCACCAGTGCCGAAGTCCCAGCTCTCATCTTCTCCTTTAATATTGCAGCCACCTATCAAGGAAAACCTTGTGGGGAGTTCAATAGGTTTTACAGAATTACGTTATGCAGAGCTATTTATCCCTAGTAGCTGAGATAGTCTTACTTTGTATTTTCCAGGATTCTTCAAAGCACAGATCAGAGCTCCATGACCGCCCATGGAATGGCCAAAAATAGACATTGATTGGGGGTCCACTGGAAAATTGGCTTTTATGAGTTGGGGAAGCTAGAAAGAAATTTTTTAAAAGTGTGACAAAAGATACAAGAGAAATTTAGTTTAGATTTTCAAAGTTATTAATTATTACGACCAACACTTCCAAATATATCCTTATAATAGCTTGAACTAGTATAGTAAAGGTTACAAAAATCCCTCAAAGAAACCATGGTGATTAATACATTACTGGAGGTATATATGGTCCAGCCTCCTGAGAAAGTAACTTCAGGTAGATGAAGCTGAACATTTGTGACAGTCTGTCATTTTACCTATCAATTTCATCTTGGAAAGGGAAAGGTCTTTAGGGGGTAAGAATTATGCACAAAGATAATGAATTTATAGTAAATATAATATTATGGCTAATATTTATATAAAAAATAAATTCGTAAAATGTAAACTGTGGCATATGACAAAATATTGTATAGCTATTGACAATTACTTAGGTCTGAGTCATCTGATGTCTTGGATATATTCTGTGAAAAAAGATGCTATGTGATTTGGCCATTGTGCATACACTTTACGAAGCTGAATGGGACCTTGCCTCTGGTTGTCCACACTGCCGCTGCTGCACTAAGGCAGCTTACGGAGGCTGGAGGGACAGTACCCACAGCAGTCTAGAGGCGGCAGGAGCAGAACACGAAGCAAATGAGGGAGAAGCAGAGCCGTGCCTTCTGCCTCACCTGTCTGTACCCACTACTGACTGATCCAGTGCTGCAAGAGCTATAAAGCCATTCGGAGAAATACTAACAAGAGTGTTACTTTCTTTATAAAACCAAAGAGAAACCTTTATGGGACCATGGACATATACAAGTACATGTGGTCAGACGTCCTATAAGTGGACATGATGTGACACCCACCTGTAGTTACTAACAGGTTAGAATAAAATTGAGAAATATTTATTTTATATAACTAAAAGAAAAAAAAAA